GTTGTAATTGCAATATCAGTGAATCTAATAGCAACTAGTTATCATTTCTAAATGATTAAGCCCTAGATGAAAAAGATATATGGATGGCATGACAGGAAAAGGATCAACTATTGCCACGACACAAGAAACTTGACTTGAGCAACATGTTCCATAGCTAAACATTGTATATATCTATAGTGCAATGGTTTGTAAGAGTGATGTGCTGTTAAAAATGTGGATTGTTTTATGTTTCTGTTATGTTTTCATTTCCAAATGTTGTAGTACACATCCAACATCCAGACTCTGTTTCGTTTGACTTATTTATACCATTCTGCAGATGTACACCCTTAGGACCCACTTTGAAGTGAAAATTAATCACTTGGATTTCGTTTCACCACAGTTGTTTCAACTCTGAAAGTTTGCAACAAAAAAAATGTGCGTGTTTTGCAACACTATTGACGTAGCATTGGATTTGCTATTGTGTCACCAGCAGGGACTGGTGGTGCAGTGAGTGATCGAAGGTTACAAGGCTGTAACGGGGGCAACAGCGGTGGGCTAGCTTGACAAAAAAAACAACACAGTTCCACTTTGTAGCCATCCTAGGACAGTCAGCTGGGTAAACATGACCCAAGGGCAAGTCTGTAAAAACTTATGTTTTAGGTTTTAGGTTTAGGTTTTCAGAAAATAAATCTTATATGTCCTGTACACTTTAATCATGCTCTTGTATGACATTTTAGTTGTGTATATTTTAAATAATTACCATAATACATACTAAGTTCCTGATGTGGCCGTATATCGGAATGGAGAACAGGTGTGTGTGTGTGTGTGTGTGTGTGTGTGTGTGTGTGTGTGTGTGTGTGTGTGTGTGTGTGTGTGTGTGTGTGTGTGTGTGTGTGTGTGTGTGTGTGTGTGTGTGTGTGTGTGTGTGTGTGTGTGTGTGTGTGTGTGTGTGTGTGTGTGTGTGTGTGTGTGTGTGTGTGTGTGTGTGTGTGTGTGTGCGCGCTCCCCATTGATTTAAGGACAGCACAAAGTTTACACATATTTAAAGTAGCACTTAAAATGTTTGGCTTGGTTAAATCCAAACCGGTAGCACTCAAAGTGGTTTAGCTTATTAAAAGCACCTGCAGGATTCTTGCTTTTTATAAAAAATATTTATTGTTGAATGCACTTATTGCACTTTGGTAACAAACTGCACTGTTGCGCAGTATATAGGTTTTTACTTAGTGAAGATGTTTAAAAATGTGCAACTGGTTACATTTTAAAAAGGATATAACTGATTTTCTTCATTAACCAGATAAGTGAGTGGTGCAGGAATGCTTTTTTGGTTAGCAGCCTGACATAAGGTCTGGTTAAAAGGATGTGAGAGAACTTCAGAGATGTTTTTGTCTTTTTCTTCTACAACATTAAATACCAAATACTAGCCCCTCATGATTGTCCAAAGCCTATGTGTCATAAAACAGCAGTTGCTAACAAGTCACTAAATCAGACAACTATTACAACTACAGTATGTGCTTACAGGTACACTTGACTATAATAAACGTTGTTTGTTTATTCTTTGCAAACCATGAAGCAAGCTTGCATAAACAAGAAAATAATGTATTATTACTTTCTATTATGCTTGCCAACTCTTCCTGATTGTGCTTTGTTTATCCAGTGGTTCTCAAACTTTTTCTGTTTGGAGAAAAAAAAAATCGGGCCCCCCAAACACAAATAGTCACGTAATGGACCAAGTTAACATTTATTAAAATATATCAATATGAACGTTAGCATTCCTTTAAAAAAAAAAATAGAACAGTGTCTCTCTCTCTCTCTCTCTCTCTCTCTCTCTCTCTCTCTCTCTCTCTCTCTCTCTCGCTTGCACACAAAATGGCTCGTTCCACACACACACAGAGCTGAGCTTGAATGAAAAACAGAGACCCAGACGTACTTGTACTGTACTGTATCATATTATTTTCGAATCAATAATTTTCCAAATGTTCATATCCATTTTTCATCCTGGTCTCTCGCTGTCCCCCTGGCATCACTCTGCGCCCCCCACTTTGAGAAACACTGGTTTATGCCAAGAGGGATAATGTATTAGTAATTCTACAATCAATATGAACTTGTGTATGTGCTTAAAGAATATCTTGGTGTCTTCCACACACACAGACATGACCTTAGACGTGTAACTCGCTTAGTAAATAATTTCTCCGGTGTCTACTCTATGCATTGGGAATGAAAATGGATCTGTGAAGAATCCATTATAAACGTCTGAGGCCTGTTTTGTTCAGCAAAATTGCTTGTCTTGTTTCTCTCACTGCAATTTGTCCTGTTGGCTTGCATGTCATATTAACTGGTCTGGTACCCAAGCATCCAAATAAACATTTAAATTGAACAAGTGATGCACAACATTTGATTAGTGAAGCATTGATGCCAATCTTTGTAATTGGTGGTGCCCATTTTTCTCTAGTTGCATCTCCTGAAAAAATGTATCATTTCATCTATGTTAATAGTGTACTATCGCTAAAAATGTTAATTATAACCATTAACTAGGCAATTTCTTCTTATCTGTATTGCATACACTTTATTTTCATTCCTCTTTCTCTCTCTAATTCTTTATAAAGCATTTTACACACGACAATTAATTAACTGATTCACAAAATAAAATAACAATCAAACATCTCTTCTCTTTTTGTGAAATTAAAAACTCATGAGTTTTTCACAGACTGCTGCCTCTAAAAGAGAAAAATGGTGATGAAAGTGATGAAGATCACCCTCGTTGTAAATAATCCATGACAATAGCTAATGAGGTTAATCTGTAGTCCCTATAGGAAGGTTTTTGCAACATTAATGGACTAATGTTGTCTACACAATGCTTCAACAAACACAACAGTACAACACAATTCAGTATAATACAGTTAAATACATTAGAAAAGTGGCAGTGCCACAAATGAAGATTATCCTGATTGCAGAAGAGATATGTTGATTGGCAGATATAAAAACTAGTGTACTCATGAGTAAAAACAACACAGATTGTTTTGGTAGACAGAGATTGAATTACTTTCATCATGCTGACTATGAATAAATGAAAATGCTAATTACCAAGGCAGTGTTACAAATGACAAACAAGTGAGATAAATGGAGTGATTAGAGGACAAATAACACCAGACATTAATTACAGAATGCTGTTAATTAGCGTCACTAATGGAATTGTTTTTGCAGAGTTGTTTGGATGTTCGACACGTCGCCTTTCAATTTCCCCCTCTCCGTCTTTTTCATTATTCACTTGTTTTTGTGACACGATGATTAATGGTGTGTGTCTTGTTGTTTTTGTTGTTGTCTTTCAACACGCTCCTCAACTCGCACTCTGACACAAAATCACTGTTTTGTTTTGTGAATGAGACGAGCCCTCTTTCTTTGCATTAGGAGCACATGATTGGGGAACATTTTTAATCTTTTCACTTTTATTTAGACGAAAATTGCAATTGAGAAATGATTCACATTATTGGAGAGCGTTATCATTTTTGCATCGTTATTCCTTTTACACATTTCATCGTGGTGTGATTTATTTTTCTTTTCGTCTTCTTTTTGTAAGCGGATCTGTAATAAACAAATGTGTTTTATAAAGTCAACCTAATATGATTTATATACTTCCCATAATCCATATATTGCAATTAAATTCAAATTCATTTTCCAGCCCTAATGTGCATGTGAACCATCTGCACGCCATTACACACTCAAAAAACCACGGCAAATGTGGTCAAGATGCATTAATGTGATACTCCACCTGCATTGAAGTGTCTGTGTTAGTGCGTGTCTGGCTCTCTCTATGCAGGGCATTCTGGGTAATGGGACTGATGCTTCACACCCAGCAGCAGCTCAAGGCTCATGGCTCACTGGTGCTGAAGCTTCCGCTAGCCAACATGTAATGAGAGCTAATGGACTCAGCTTGTGTTTGCCTTCCATCCCTCTCCTCTTTCATTATTTCTCTCCCGCCATCCGACACTCCGCTGCAACATTCCCTCCTATCTCTTTGTCCTTGTTTGACACCATCCTGAGTGCTACTTCATTGCACCCCCACCCTCCCTCAGGCTATACTCTGCAGTCACGTGACCGGGCCCAAGTTTGTTTTATGCACCACCTCCCCTCTTTGTCTTCTCCTCACATGACCTCTCCCTCTCTCACACATAGCATATCTCTGTATTGTTTGTCTAGCCCAGAGGCCTGTACGATTAAGCCGGTTTTTCGCTTAGCGAGCTAACTTCAGGGAAACTCTGGGTTTCGACGCTGGTTTTCTTCTTAGCGGGCTAGATCTCCATGTTAACTTATGCTGAGCGGCTAACCTACTCCGGAGCAACATCATCACTCCAATCTGACTTCAGAGGATCTTTCTGTACACATTGATATGGATGAGTTTCCTTGCAATCGGTGTGTGTTACCCTACTGCTGTTTATTTCATAAGGGACAGCCAGATGGTGTGAGTGTGGAAAAAAACGACAAATCTGAACTTGGCAGTATTAAACGTAAAAGTCATTTCTCAGCCTTTGGCAGAAAAATGTCGATCATTCCCATTACCAGTGTAATTTCCCCATCATTAATACATCAGGTTTGGTGTGTGTGTGTGTGTGTGTGTGTGTGTGTGTGTGTGTGTGTGTGTGTGTGTGTGTGTGTGTGTGTGTGTGTGTGTGTGTGTGTGTGTGTGTGTGTGTGTGTGTGTGTGTGTGTGTGTGTGTGTGTGTGTGTGTGTGTGTGTGTGTGTCATTTAGCCAATAGCTGCGAGAGTGTGGCTGTCAATGCTGAATATGCTAATAGCCTGACACCTGTTTGTATAAGAAGAGAGAAAACACACACCTCCCCGTCAAAAACTCCCACACAACACACGAGGAGAACTGATTTTGAAGCTTTGGGGCGAGGTTGGTGAAAATCATTGATGCGGAACGATAAAATATAAAAGATGAGGAATGTGCTTTCTGCTAAAGGAGCAAGGCGGGAGGGTCAACGTGCTCTGATGTCTCCTCTCTTTTCTTTCTTTCTCCGCAGTGATGGAGCCCATGACGGTGACGACGTCGGTGGTCGGACCGGACGAGTTCGATCGCAACGCCCCGCGGATCTGCGGCGTTTGTGGCGACAAGGCCACTGGCTTCCACTTCAACGCCATGACGTGCGAGGGCTGCAAGGGATTCTTCAGGTGGGTGCTACGTCCCTGAGAGGAGAGTCCTTTGTTGCTTTCTGTGTTCTCTGGGTGTTATATTCGTACCACAACAGAGAATAATGAGTTATGGATTATCTCTCCTATAGGCGCAGCATGAAGCGTAAAGCCTCCTTCACATGTCCATTCAACGGGACCTGCACCATCACCAAGGACAACCGACGTCACTGCCAGGCCTGCCGCCTCAAACGCTGCGTCGACATTGGCATGATGAAGGAGTGTGAGTACACTTTTCCTCGCCTTAGACATTACAATTGCATTTATTAAATGTTTTTGTAATAGTTGCACTTTGCCCTCTTGATACAAATGACAAAACTTGACACAGACCTAGAACTATGTAGGTTGAATCAGATTCAGTCATCTAAAAACACATTATACTAATTTTCAGGTCCATATTTGTATTTTGTCATTCTACTGTGACATGTTTCCATGCTTTAA